CTTTCTTTCTACGAACTAATTCTTTCTTCCTGTACTATATCCTTATTGCAATCTTTCTTTTATATATTAACACCTCTGAATTAACTACTTTTATGAATCCGGTGTCCATCTTGTTGTGTTAATGAAGTATGGCAACTTGGACCGATGCATATATGTGCCTGGTCCTACGTTGTAGCTGACTGACGATCTGGATGTTTTCCTTGAATCCATTACACAGTTCTAGTTTTCAGCTAATATGATAGTTCACCATAAATCTACTCTTTGCCACTAAAATATAATGACTTTATCTAATTATTACTAGCTAACGTGTGATTGCTATCACTGATTACCGGGAGAGACTAATTCACATTATTATTATTGTAAAATGTTTCAGTAGACTGTTATAACTTGTGACCGCCGATTAGAGTGCAGTGACTTATTAATCGAAACAATGACGCGTAAACCTGTATGAGCAGCCTAAAGTTCTGATTGGTCCTGCTTTCCGCCTAGCCTAGTCAGTCAAGTCCAGAACACAAGTCTCAGCCTCTGCGATATGAACCATGTATTTCAAACATACTCTGTTTATATACCAATCAAGCAGACTACATCGTACCATAAAATAGAAAATAACATTTGTACAATATTTGGCCAGCAGGAAAATGGCACGTGAAATAAATATTGACCAGTAGGGAAACGACACGTGAAATAAGTATTGACCAATATGAAAATGATACCATTCCAAGTCCAAGGATAGCATTAGACTTAACAGGATAATTTTTAGGATATTTTTCTGAATATCCCAACATAGACAAATACCAACATGTTATTTATTGTTATGCTGGTGGTAACTGTGAAAACATGTTTTCGATATTTTTACGGAATACTAATCAATTTATAATTCTTTGTTAAATTTTCATTATTAGATTAATCGGTATCCTGTTGATCTGCTTTCGGATATGATTAGCAGGTTTGAACGTCCTCAGTCTACACAGCGTTGGGACAACCCACTTATAACTATTGAACCTCATCTTTGGAACTCACCAAGCACTGATAATATGGAGTCAGTAATTATACAAATAAAACAGCTGCTAAACAACAGAGGCAAAGGAAAGATCCAACCAAACAAATCAACACAACTGACAATTATTTCATCATCTAGCTACTTACAAGTAAGTTTATAAAAGCTCTCTTTTGGCACATTGAAGAAATATTTTTCAAGTCATAAAAAAAGATACTACATTTCGGTATCGGTAATTTGCTATCGCTCTGAACCAATGGAAAATGTGTCTGGTTAAGCAATAACACACATCAGCATTTATCAATACAGTGTAGGGGTAGGTGCTGATTAATCACTTTCAGGTTAACAGAACTAGCCCAATAAGCGGTTTTCATTCATTTACAGTTGAAGCATTCTTTTAACAGCCTGGCGTTCATCGACCTCAACACAAGTGGTTTTGACGTTAACTCTGAAAGTTTTACAGGAAAAGTTGAACACTTTTTCTCATTTTACGAATCTCAATAATTACATGTTATGGCATTCTTAGTAATAAAAACTCATCGTTTATTAAAATTGACTTATGATACCTGTTAAGCAATATACTGAACTTGTAAAAGCATATATTTTCTACCATGCTCTTATTTGCAACATATTGAATTTCAGAATCTGGAGCATATCACGCAGCAAGTCGTAGATCATGTCCTTCGAAGTCAAACCAGTGGTCTTTCATCTGTCGATCTCCCTATGTGTTTCCAAAACGAGCATAACCGAGATGTAGTTCTTCAAATTACCAACTCCGAAACTAAATACACGATTGGCAACCTTATACGACTTAAACGCCGATATATTGCGGTACAACGATTAAAATTTGATCAGTTAAATACAGTTTCGGATGATGCTTCGATTGCAACAAACTTTTTGCAGTTTATTTCGTTCAATGGGGATTTATGTGATGATGAAGCCAGTTAGAATGTGACAAAAACTTATAAAGACAAGAATCACAAGTGATATTGTCATGTAACATAATATATTTTTTTATCGTTTGTCACACTGCTCTACAATGGGTCTTTTGTAACGATTTACAACACTGAATAGTGTATTTCAGAAATATGAAAATCGTATTTCTAAACTACACAGATATAAAATTAGAAAAACCCTATGAGCTACATTGAGACAAATACTAAGAATAAACAGTAGGAAAACTATATTCATTTTAAATGGCTACCCTAGCTATATTAACAGAGCAGTTTACCATATGGATATATTTGCCAAGTACGGACGTTTGTGTAAAGGCTCGTAATACATACTCCCCGACTATCCAAACCAGAGTAAGTTGATTAAAGTCAAAATTTACAGTCAACTGGTTGAGTGCCTTGAAATGACACCTCACTTAGCTTCATGAAGTTATGATTTGAAAGGTATGAAGCTAGCACAATAAAAGAGTTGCGACCTTTGTAGCCAGGTTCCTAGGTTGATAAAAGCGTTACCACCATCTATCAAGAAGTTTCCTCTGAAGATGTATGGAACCGAGAAGTGTCAAGCACCCCCATACATCTCTAACAGTGCTCAAATGAACATTATTCACAATAAGACCGTGTTCTCATCTCCGTATGTTTTTTCCACCCCTCTTCTGGCTCCGCCTTCACATTCAAACATTGCTAACGATCCTATAATACGAAATATTTCCCCTGTCTTCCAAACAACGCTGTCCGAAACTTGTGTCAATTGAAGAACTTCACGAAGACTCTCGTGATACTGATACGAACTGTGTTTGTAACCCGAAATATGGAGCCAACGAGAATCATCCTTCGCGTAATGGGACATTCGACAAGTTTCGTCACATGTCACATAAAAATTATACTTTCTTCGACTATTTAGGAATTGATCTCTATCTTTATAACTTATTGGAGATAGCAATTTTTCTAGTAAGAACGAAAAAACTGCATTGAAAATCTTTCTATCCTCCAAGTACAGTGTTGTTTCGAGAGGGATGTGTCAGTGTATAAAATGGCCTTTAGGATCAATCGCTTTACTTATTGTTATCCCTGATAAGTTGTTAACAAACGTATTTTAAAAAATTTCATTTGCTTTTTGCCCATATTAGGACCAGTATATTGCCCAGAAATCCTCATTTTCTAAAACTCTGAAACGCCATTTGAATTCGGTCATAATGTAGGATTTGGTTAAATAGAAGCATGACTTACATGAAGTAGAACAAGTGCGCAATCCTGGGGTTCGATTTAGCGTACTAGGCGAGAATAATAATCAGTTGACGAGAGGTAGAATCTTCATTGGATAGAATAGCTGGAATGTTACATATGCTTAATCACCGCCTATCTCGACGATAGTTATATACTTTCAATGACATCCTAAGAAAGTGGTTAGTCCCTCGTTTTCAAATAAACCAGCGAATGAGTTACCTGAGTGCTGCAGTTATATTCATTCTAACATGATCTGTCATACTTTTCATTCTTTGATCTCATTTGTTATCTAGATCACAGTCCTCACGTTCAGCTCTCATTTCATTTGATTCTATTTAACCTCTGTCCATCATCTTTTTACTCTTCTCACCATGATGTGAATTGCGACTTGTGCCAGATCCTACGTCGATTAACTACTAAGCAATCGTTTCACAGATAATTGTGTAGGAGTTTGTTTCTTAAGATTTTGGTGAAATTAGCCTAGATGATGTGTCTCGTTCCCGAAACTTTTTAAACTCATATTTGAACATCGAAATAAACGAAACATATATCGCAATGATGGGCAGTTATATGTCAATTTAACTCATGTTGATAAATGTATAGGTGAATTCATTGAACTTCCCTATTTATTCAAATGTTGTAACTGTTTCGATACTTTTTATATTTACTAGTAATAAACAGAAAAAGGTTGGAACACATACTATAATGATTATGAAGTAAAAAAAGAAAAGGGCGAAATTCGAATTATTCAAACTGTGATATAATAAGTTTACATGCGTGCCCATCTAACTTGAGACGATCAGTAAATATTAATATTTAGATAATAATGGTGGTATATTCAACAACAGACTGGTCAGTAAATATATATATATATATATATATATATATATATATATATATATGATTTAATGAAGTGTGGAAAAAATTAAAGGATTTCCCTATAAATGTAAGTAAGTGGGCATTGTCATTGATATAGTGTTACTAATATCATTATAGATCTGAAGAAATGGCAACTACTCATATGATGTATATATGTGACAAAAAAATAAGTGGAACAATTGTTAATTACTTGATGAAAAGAAATATACATTACAGATGAGAAGTCAAAAAAACAGTTCTTCAGAAAAGATTCACGTTCAAAAAGTGTCTGTCTTGTTTTGTCAGTTGGCAGTAAAAGTAAATTTCAAGTGGGTAAGTAAATAAAAACGGGGACCCAGATTAGTTATTTATTCTACGTACCTCTACCAATGAATATTTATTTAAATAATAATCTTCCAGACATTCTAAAGGATAGTAATGAATGTAGCAAGAAAACTAGTACATCAAAGTAACTTTTAATTTCAGCTTGTGAAATACCAAACTGTTAATATTATAACATGATTATCTGTATTTAAGTAAAAGAGATATACATTGAATTATTCTTGTCTCATGTTTAATAGTTCAATTTGTGTTACTGTGTTCCCTCTTTCCATAAATGTCCACTTGACCAAACAACTTGAGACAGAGTTTGTTAGAGTAAGGAAGTAAATTTTATAAGCTATATAACCTGAGGCTGTATATAACATGATAAAGTAGAAAAAAAGATTTCACAGTAAAGTTTGGTTTCGGTTTGTATATTTTTTCCTAAAAAACGAAGTAGCAGAAGAGAGAAAACCTAAACAATTTTGCTTTTAGATCTAAAAACAGCCTCTAACTGAGAACTACGGGGGAAGATAGAGGAAGAAATGTCCAGATCATTCATTTCTTATCATAAAATGAGCGTAAAAGTCCAATTTTGTTACACAAGTGTAATAGCAATCAACATTTGATGAGATTCATTCAAACTAATTTATTGTCCGCAAATCAACCTCTTCGCGTATTGAATTCTTTACGACGAAACCCTGTTAAAGAATTTTTGAAAACACTTATTAAAAGACTGAATGGTATGCGAAAATTCAGTGTTCAGTTAGCATGGCATATATTTAAGACATCAGTGATCTTTTTAAAATCTAAACACAGATATTTACTTTACAATTCCTATATATATAAACATCCTGAAAATATTTTGAAACCTTATGCATCCAAGAGTTTCGAGTCACAGTATTTGAGATGTTCTCAAGATGAGTTAGCTGTGCTGGTGTAGGCCTCCCCAGTAGTGTTATAAACACCAATATAACAATGCGGAGTATTTTTGAACACTCATAGTGTTTCATGTTTTTTTTTCAGTGATAAAATAGATGGTTATCAAAACTTATCATTAATATTTGATTGCTAACGTTTGACTTAGATTGTGAAAATACTCGCCTTTAAAAACCACGTTGAGATTGTTGCTTCCCTTTTTATAAGATCCAGTACAAACATTTCTCAAGATAAAGCTTTCGGCAAAATTTTTTTTACATATTTTGACTGCAATGTGGAGATTAGGGCGTCACGGCTTACATGAACACTCAATTATGAAATGAATATTCTCGTCTAAACTGAGTGAGAAGCTTTTCATTTATGAGCTCACAGAGACCGTTCGATTGAGAGTTTAGTCACGACACGGCAATACACCAAAGAATTCTAAGGAAACACAACCATGAGAAGAAAATGAATTAACAAAAATATTTTAAACAATAGGGATATGACTGAATATAGACGAACCTAAGTTAAAAGCATATTTATTTATTTAAACACATAAACATTGGTACAAGGAGGCACCAAACAGATATGCACCACATAAATCATTCAATATATGTGAGGGCTGGGATACTCCCCGGGTGTCCAGACTGGAGGTGATTTTCTCAGGAAGCCACACCCGAGCTTTTGATTTAAAGGTCTGATCCACAAGGCAATAGAGCAACGTCAGGAGATGCAGTCCTATGGCCAACCGGTGACCAAAAATTGGTTCATACGCTATTTGTTTCCTTAGGATCCTGGAGCCCATGTGTACTATTGTTTTGGAATAAGGGTTTTCCAACTCATCTATATGGACTCTTTGTGTCTACCGACCCGGTTAAAACGCCGGACACTCGCTTTTCGTCTTCTGAATTTCGTAAACAACATCCCTGCCGCGATGAGGCAGTGGCAAATGGTGATTCACTAATCCAAACCGGAGCTTATAACCATGTAAACCGACTTACAATGAAAACTTTGAGATACCTTTTTGTGATTTCTTTAACAGATACATTATGATAAACAGTGGGCCGGTAGTCGAGAACTCTAAACGGTTTAGTTCGGAGACTAAATTACTTGGTTTTTGTTAAAAGTCGTTTCCGTCCATTTCCCACAACGTAGTATGCCCAAGTAAAATTTCACGTACGAAGCTCTAGAACATGACTATGTATGTAATGGATGAAAGAAAATGGTCTAAAAATTCCAACATTAACTCTAGTGAGTTAGGGATGATCGACACACTTCTGATATTTCAAAGATAAATATGTTAAGTCAAGATCACGATCATTTTAGCAACCTAGTGAAACATTATCTGTCCCTGGAAGAATTCGGATTAATTATTTATTCATCTAGTTTAGCTTAAAGCTGCGATATTTTTAGAAAACCAGTAGTTACACAAAAAACATTTGTCATAAACAGAGATAAGGTTATAAAAATATAGCAAGTAAGAATTTCTTGGGTGAAGTAACTTACTGATAAAAATAATCTAACTTACCTCTTGTCTTTCTCGTTGATCATAATAAAAGAAATCGTCGAAAATAGACAATGTATGTGAATATGTGGCAAGTACTTCCATTACTTGTTTACCTCGTTCTAAAGGAAGTTCTGTAGTGTCGCGAGAGTGAGTTACTGGTTTATTATCATTTGTCTCAATGCGAATATGTCTCAATGCGTATTAGGAACATCTTTTACAAATATCCATCGAACCGAAAATTTACCTTGCCATTTATCTTGAGCCCAAACACTAGCTCTAGCATTATAGTCAACACGAGAAACCATTTCAGCCATCCCACAAAAATGTCCAGATCCATTGACTGAAAAAAATAAATATATTGGATAGGCATGATTGGCCTCAGCAAACGCTGTGTCAAGCTTCTTGTTGCCTAGTTCTGTTGAACACCAGATAGAATACTTAATAGAACGATGGATATCATCTTCGGAAATGACTTGATTACAAAGAATCTGGCCTTTTCTATGTGTGTGTCGAAATCATTGGGGTTAATTACCTTAGCCAAACGTTGGTGCAGCGCTTCCGACTCACGTTGAAAAGCTTGTGCAGATCCATCTGAGGTTAGTAGGGATGTTGAATTATCTGCAGCATGGTTACCATTATTCGAAGTACTCTTTAGCTCGGAATTAGATTCCGCCAAAGAACGAACATTTCCTGACTGGTCCGCAGTATTAACTCTGTCTTGTTGTGTTAAATGCCCATTATTACACGAAGCATTTGCCATCAAAGAATTAACCCTACCAACTGAATAGTTCCCAGTAGAAGTTTGGAAAGACCTGTTAACAGCTGTTGGATTGTGAGGATGAGATCTTTTCGCTGACCATCCTACAGAGTTTTGAATAACTGCAGCTGACCCTTTGGGTGGTTGTCCTGCTATATTAGCCCAAGTTTTTGTACGTGGTGAACTATTGACAGATGTAGCAATAACTGATGGTGCAGGTCTGTTACTCGCTGAAGTAGATAACCTGCTTGCTGGATAAGTACTTGGATTGGATTGTGATCTGGATATATTATCGGACTTATCCATAGAACACATGCTATTACTAATCTAAAAAAATAAAAAAGTTCACATATTTCCCAGTAATATATTTAAATGTATATGTTAGCAAATAAATTGACTATGTACATATTTGGCGTTTACCTATCAAGTAATAGGTTCAAATTGATTTATTCATAATTAGCCGATTTTCATATTTAAATGATACAACGAAATAAGTTCAATTCTAATTCCCAACTGAGTAAATATACACAAACCTACAAAACGTTTAGTCACATTATTAATGTTTTTAGTTATGTTGTAAAAACTACCACTAATTTAAAGTTACTTGATGTATATTTAAAAGTAAAAAGTAATTGTTGCTTTACTCAGTCATATGCAACGGATCATATTAGCACGGTGAGAGACCATCAGAACAAATCACAGAATATTAGAGGCAGTAACTGTACTAGTGGTAATAGAAAAGATCAGGCATCGAAGATACGATTCAAGAATATGTAGACTAACTTAATGAAAATAAAAATATTATACAGTAATCCGGAAACTTAGGATCTGAGGGAAAACAAATAGTGAGTGCGCCTATGCCATTCCAAATCAGTGAAAGCAATATTACCCCTTGCTTACGAAACTCTGTGAACCCCAGCAAGGTATTCTGCATCTACTTACATAGCTAAATCCAATTGCTAGTGTCTTCATAGGCTGATGCCAAATCTTGGTTTGGCTGCCTATAGCTTTCTTCCAACCTACGCCAGGCATCATCGAATATCGAGGTAATCGGTTGACGGGCGTACGTAGCACATGTTTCAACCAACTCAGTTAAAGATTCATTACCTCACTAATTAATTTGCCATTTTTACCTACAATCCTGCATCTAGCTCCGTGGTCCTAACAAATATGAGTAATGCTTTCAAGGCATTTGTGGTCGAATACTAGTAAACTAAGAATATCCCCTAACTTTAAAGTAGAATAGAGTGAACAGCCGCGCCGTTTGGGTGTAAAAGATTATATTTTATGGACATGATTTTAAAAACCTGATATGTCAGCTTCACATTTGAAGTCTGTCAAACCAAAAAGCGCGAATTGGTGACTATAAAACCATATGCAGAATATATGGAACTGTATTGACTTACTCCGTTACTTTCTTTCATATGAGACCATTGTGTCACTGAAGTATTATGTAACTGAACATTACTTCCGTTCCCAACAACTGAGGTTTCATAAAACGGGACATGCAACTGATTTAGCCCATTATCACTACAAGTTGCTGTTTCGACACCACATCCAACATTTAGTCGACCGAATTCATCGATCAGATGTTGTGAGATTGTTTGGCACTGGTTTACTGAAGCATAGGGATCCAACATATTAGCAGCACTACCAGGCAATCCATTTACAAGATGTGACTGAGGTCCTTGAGATGAAAACGGATAGGCAGCTTTTGAATTCGGATGATGGTAGATGAATGAAACACCAGGGTCTTCAGTAGTACATTGTTGTTGTTGCTGAGAATAGGATGCAGGTGGCGCGAAAACAGTATCTCCCATATTCGATGATGTATAATATGTATGTGGGTCTTTAGATGACACATTTGCTTCGGATGGACCTTGACTAAAGTGACTGATTGCATCATTTTCACCACAGGGTGACAGTGTTAATTGTTGACCATTTGAAGCCCAGCCCTCAAAAGGAACGACTGCACCAGTAGGTCTGTCTATAAATGAAGAGTTTGGATAGTGAGTTGGAGGAACAGTGAAAGGCCAATTAGGTAGGTTACCAAGAAGCCCATTAAGTTGGTTAGCATTAGTAACAGATGGTCTTGTGGAAGAACCAAAGTACATTGTTGTGAAATCAGCTGCTCTATTATTCATTGAGGGATTAGGTAAGAAAGACCGACCTGTTTGGCCAGAAACGGCATTTGCAGCACCCTGAGGAAGTGGATAAGCTGCAGCTGCTGCTGCAGCAACTGCAGCCAACAAAGTTGCAGCATAAGGTGATGATAAAGAACTGGATGGAATATTACAAGACTCGGATAAATCCCCAGAATTTGAGCAAGCTGCCAATGATGGATGTGTACGCATATTATTTATCATGTTTGAAACAGCGTTATAACCATCAGTATTAGACCAATCGTTTCTTCCAGACGCCACTGCTGCTAAGGCTGCAGCGGCAGCCGCCGCAGCTGCATTTTCTGCATTTGGGGTTGTAGCTGAGTTTACTCCATTGCCCTCACCCATTCCATAAGACAAGTGCGAGAAAAGTGTCCCATAGTAAGCGTCCGCTGAATTATTGATACCATATATGTTCTACAAAGCACATTTACAAATATCACAAAAATGCTTTAAATAATCAGTTAGATCAAAATTATTTATGATTCACAAAGTCACCTAGTCTATACCCTAAATATAACTTGATCAGATAGTTATGATTAGTGAGGAAACGATTTATTCTAATTTTAAACTAACGCTTTAAAAAATGTGAAATGAAGCCAAAAAATTTCTGATTAAATGCTTTATGTTCTGTTTACAAATTTCAACTAAAAGATCTCGTCTCTTGATCAAGATACCCAAGTATTAGACAGCATACGAAACTCGGCAACAGTGTAAAACTAAATGGTTTAGATAATGTACCATACCTACTGGAAGAAGACATGATACTAGTCGACTACTCATATTTCATCAAAAGCAGAGGAATGAACCTGTAACTTGTCAGTTGAAGCTAGTCTAAATTAACAGCCCGAAACTAAATAGCCAAGCATTAAACGGCTTAAAAATTAACACTTGTTTTTAAATTCCTAAAATTTTTCACTAAGGGAATTTATTTGATTATTAGGACATCGTTTCTGAACACATCTAAACGTAAAAACGAAAGTAAAATGGTGGAGTTAGATGCTTATTTTTAGGACAAAAAAAAATGATATTTATGTTCAAAATAACTTTATGCACATAATCTAGAAGCTAATGGCTCCTTATGGCGGTGAGTAGTTCCTCCATATAAGTAATTTCCCAACGATCTTAGAGAAAATGTTTACATTTTATGTTGCGTATGTCACAGTAAACAATTATTGCTATATTTAACTGTGACAAACCTAATCTGTTAATACTACCTATTATGACCTGAGTTCCCAGATGTAAACCTCACTATTTTAGAGCGATTTAGTTATCTAGCTTACCTACAACTCTAGGTAGGCAACACATGGTGAATTACCCATTAAACGACGTATCAGAGACACACTGTTTTAAATTATAGGGTTGGTAGTTTAGTTTTAAGTGAGCACATATACTTTTTGTTTCCTATATGATGACAGCCTACAAATGCTTCTCGTAAAGAATTGAGGCCTTCAACAATGCTGAGTCAAGGCATAAACTATTGAGGAGGTTTGTATGAATCAAACAGTTAAATAAAATGGCGAATTCACTTAAATGAGATCTTGCTATGTAATTCATAATCGTGGAGAAAATTATTCTTTATCCACAATCTTTATCAACAATCGATAAGTCATTTGAGCTACAAAACTTTGTTTAGCGTTTTGAGAACGAATTAAATGGTCCCATCTGAGTAAAAGCACCAAATAAATATTTTATTCATTGGGATATCTTACTGCCCATAAAGAATATAACAAAAAAATAACAATAGTAACGCTGACTTTTGCTTCGACAACAAAATGTGGGGGAGGGGTGTTAATTATTGCCAACGTACGATCTGGCACGAACGTGTAACAGTCCACATTATTATGTTTCCTCAGCACATGGAAATAAAACTTGAAAATACGATGATCAAAAAATAAATAATGTCAAATGTAATCGAAAGTCAAACATGAGAAATGCAACTCAAGCAGAGCAAATGTAGTTAGTCAGTAAAAAACATGGAAAAACGTGAGGATATAGAATGAACTACGGTAATAGGGTAACTTATTTACGGGATACAGATTTATGTACTTGATTTAAAGCCGCACATTTTGTGCGGAGAGTAATGTTACTATCTGTCTGGTTATATCGAAGTAGATGGAATAGCATCCAAACTTGTTACACCTGACTGAAAAAAAGAAGTGAGCTAAATACTAAGTCATAGCAATCATTTGGAGATAATGACGACTGAACAGACTTGTTATATTGATATGATGGGATGAAAAGTCAAAATTAGATTGATTTACTTAGTATGATTTTTATTCAACATTAATTCCGTTTTAATTCAATGTGATGATTACTCAGTATAGTTTTTATTTTGTTTTCCCGTATGACATTTTATTCTGTATAACATACGATATTCTTGTATGAATTATTTTTCGTATGTGATTTATTGTGATTATTAATCAAAAATGGGTGCATGAATCAATATATAAATGAGTGCATTTCTGACTAGACTCGTCGTGGTTGTTCGTGCTTCTGGATGCTTGTGGAATATATTTCCCTCTTCCGACCTTGGACTTCTCTCTCTAGTTAGCTGAGTTGGACTCGTCGGGATAGCTAGCTTATCTGTCATTGTCCCAGTCTTCGTTCCGTTCTCAAATTAGGTGAACTCGTAATCCCTCCAACATTATATATATATATATATATATATATATATATATATATATATATATATATATATATATATATATATATATATATATATATAGTTTGTTTAGGCAAGGTTTTGCAGGCAAACAGCAGAACTACTCGTAACGTTATATATTGTCTTTTACAGAAAGACTAACGCCACAATAGTGCTAGTTTATGAAATCACCAAATAAACTCAGGTAATACAGTAAACAGTTAGAAATCAACTCAGATTTCCATCGGTTACAAATACATAAATACCGTTTTGGTCAGGAATACAATAGAAACCCAAGTTGACGTATCACGTTAAAACGGCAAATGGAAGTAATATAAAAGTGAACGAATAAAAATAATGTATTAGCAATGATAATGAGACTACAGCTAAAAAACATGATGTAAATGCACGGATGAATAATAAGTTTCAAAATCTACAGCAAGACAAATAGTGTATCCATCTGTGCTATCGTGATGATGCTAAACTGTTACCCGTTTCCAACCACGGTAATTTTCACACGAACCACAACAAAGTAATCCGCATTTACAAAAATGCCTTGGACAGTCGATAACTCAATGAACTGATAACCACGACTGTAGCTGCCACATTGACGTAGTGGTCGCGTTTTCATATCGTGGTGACCCAAATGAGTTATACTGACTGGAACACTTGCATTCTAATGTTTTACCGTAACTAAACAGGTCTGTTGAACAGATGTCAGACTAAAGCGAACAAACTTATCGAATCGAGCTAGCTTCTAGGCTAGCTACCATTCCACCGAAAATTATAGATGAGCGTTGGTTGCAATTGCATGACGCCATGAAAATGGCGGGTACAGTCAGTTGTGGGTTTGCGAAACGTCCGCTTATAAGCACTGGCTTTCTCCAGGTTCCTTACAACTCATCGAAGCCCGTCGGTCTACTCCGGGTGACCGTGAGTTTGACCACAAACGAAGGATGTTACGTAAGGACATTGGGCAAAGCTTGTGTAAGGACCGAGAAGCCTGGTGGTCGAAGCGTGCTAATGAGCTGGAAGCAGCAGCTGCATCTGGTAACTACCGGAAGCCAGATGACTTACCTCCGACTCTTTTGAAAGATGGTGGTGACTTTCTGACTAAGGGACTGACGACGCTGTTTACAAAGGTCTGGGAACTAGAGAGTGTACCAACGTCATGGAATGAGTCGATAGTTGTCCCTATCTTTAAAAAGGGTTCACGTCGTTCCTGTAACAACTATCGGGGGATAAGTCTACTTCCGATTGCGTCCAAGCTATTGGCTTCCGTCATACTTCGTAGGTTGTTCTAAACCCGAGAAATATTGACTCGCGAGGAGCAGGCTGGTTTTCGTTCTGGTCGAGGATGTATTGATCATATCTTCAGCCTCCGCCAAATGTTAGAACACCGTCATACTTATCAAAGGCCAACAATCTTAGTATTTCTTGACATCAGGGCTGCCTTCGATTCGTTGGACAGGACTGTTCTCTGGGATTGTCTATTGAAGGAAGGTGTGCCTGAGAAGTTTATTAACACCTTAAAGACCCTATATACAAACACCTCAGGTAGAGTGTGAGCATACAACCACATTTCTCCATTGTTCCATTCAAGCAGTGGGGTTAGACAGGGTTGCCCAATCTCACCACTCCTCTTCAACTTTGCCATCGATGACATTCTGGAAACAGCTCTGATGGATGTAAGTAATGGCGGTGTGGATCTGCTGCCTGGAGAAAGACTTCTCAACCTTGAGTATGTGAATGACATTGTCTTACTGTGCGATAATGCTCAAGCCATGCAATCCGCACTTAATCAGTTGGCAATCAATGTCCGTAGGTATGGTATGTGCTTTGCACCTTCGAAGTGCAAAGTACTTCCACAAGACTGGTAGGATTCTAATCCTGTACTCACCCTGGATGGTGAGCAGATAGAAGTAGTCGAGAAGTTCGTGTATCTGGGTAGCTGCATAAGTGCTGGTGGGGGTGTGAGTGATGAGATCAATGCACGTATAGTGAAAGCCAGAGCGGCTTATGCCAATCTGGGCCATCTTTGGCGCCTTCGTGTTGTTAGTCTGGCTGTAAAAGTTCGGATCTACAACGCGTAGGTGAGAGCAGTTTTGCTCTATGCTTGTGAAACCTGGCCTCTCCGAGTTGAGGACGTTAGACGACTCTCTGTGTTCGATCATCGTTGTCTCCGAAGGATTGCTGACATCCAGTGGAAACACCGTGTCAGTAGTAATGCAGAGGTTCGGCATCGTGTGTTCGGGCACAGAGACGATGATGCAATTGGTGTCACCATCTTGAAACACCAACTTCGGTGGCTTGGACATGTTCTACGAATGTCGTCCCGGAGAATTCCACGTCGTGCATTATTTGCCGACTCTGGGACTGGTTGGAGAAAGCGGAGAGGTGATCAGTATATGACACGGTGTCGTGGTATGAAAGAAAGCTGCAAAGGGCTGGCTTTTGTCAGTCCTTCACGACTCCCTCGTTGGGGCCCTAGAGATGGTGCGACACTGGCTAGAGACGTTGTCAGATATGGCTCAGAATAGAAGCCAGTGGCGATCATGCTGTAACCTTCTTTTACTTCATAAAAAGTGGATGTATCTTCCTTAACTGAAAGATTTCTTCTGATTGTACCCTTCTGTTCCCCTACTATTACTATTATTGTTACACTACCAAACACCAATCTCTTCGTTATTGCTTTTTTTCATATCTTTTTTTTTACGTTCCCCACATTTTTTCTTCTTCTTAAATTCCCATTGTTTTGTGTGGCGCATATATA